AATGCTTGAACCAGAGGGCGGGAAGTTGCATGAGCTGAGATTGTACCACTGTGCACTCCACGCTGGGGGTTGGACAGGGCGAACTCTGTCTCAAAAAAAAAATCATACATAAATGATTGACTCACTTATTTGGATTGAGATTATCCTAATCAGGAAGTGCAAATAAGTTAAAAGGAAAAATAATGCTTCTTCCTTAACTCTTTTCACCGCTGTACTTGAATAGAACTAGAACAAATGCACAGAAGTTCAAAGTGATACACTTTAGCTCAACCCAAGGAAGATGTTCTAGAAGGAGCAGAGCTGTTCTAAAAGGAATGAGCTGCCTCTAGAGGAATTGGTTACTGGAGGAAACCAAGTAAAATTTCAGTTAGAGATGATGCAAGCATTGAAGGAGCTGTTAACAGTATTTGGGAATTGGGACAGTATCCTGGGTTCCACCATTAAGCCTGCAAGTCTGGAGTAGCTGCATTAAGTTTGAGCAAAGTCAGTAGTTATAATTTCCCACCTTTTCTTATCTATAACCCTAGACTGTTCTCCAAGATACTCTGTATTCCCTTATTATCTCATTGCCTTGAAATGCTTGCAATCTTTCCCCTTGAAAATATGAAAGAGTTTTAAAATGCTGACATTCATCTGGCCTATTGATGCAGGACATGAAGGAAGTAGATCTGAATATATTTTTGGTGCCTAAACATCTAGCAAAGCCCAAGACTAGACAATACAGGGAAAGTTAAACCAGCAAAGTACATAATCCCTCCACTGTTATGAGTCCTTGACCCTCTCCCCTCCCACTCCATCATACTGACTTTATAGGCAATGGCATTGTATTGGAAGGGGCAGAAACTGAGTAAAGACTGCATAAAGTTGTGCTGGGGCTTCTTTGCAACCATCTAAGTCTCAATCAAAAATATACATCTCTAAGATGGGTTTCAGGCATTATACTAAAAAATAATACCCTTAGCTTATTTTGCTTTCAGCTCTTTACCTGTTTCATAATGATAAAACTTCCCAAGCATCTGTTGGCCAGAAAACAGCATGTATTAAGACCCAGCAGTAGAGAAGGCAAAGTAGAGTTGGGAAACAGAGATACTCAGAGTGGCTGGAACTCAGACTATGAAGTGGGGAGTAGAAAGATGTGAAAATAGTAAGATAGCAGGGCTAAGATCAGGAAGAACCTCATTAAGTAGTGTTTACTTCAACCTAAGGGCAATAGTAAGTCACAGAAAGACTTTAAGGAGGAGAGAGAAGTGGTAGATTTGTGTTTTCAAAATCTTGTTTCAATTATTTTTAAATAACCAATAAAGAGGAAAGAGAAGATACAAGACATGGAGAGAAAGAACAGTTAAAAGGCCTTTCCAGGAATGCAGGCAGGAGGAGATGTCAGCTTAGACTGCAGTAGTAGCAGTGGGTTAGAGAGAAATGGACAGATTCACTAAATATGCAGTAGGTAAAATCATCAGGACTTAGCAATAGACCACATGTGGGGCATGAGAGAAAGAGGGGAGTCAAGGATGACCTGGAGACTTCTGGCATGGCCAGCTGGGTAGCTGGTGGTGCCATGTACTGAGATAAACACATGGTAGGTAGTCAAGGCTGAGGGGACCATGACTCAGTTTGGAACATCTCATGTTTGAGATGCACATGTGACATCCAAGTAGAGATGTCCAGAAAATAGTTTTCAGGTCTGAACTGGAGATATAAGTGCTAATTAGCATTAATAATAATATGCTCATTAGCAAGCAGACCACAACTGAAACCACAGGAAATAATCATTCAGGAAAAATACATAATTCAGCCCACAAGGTAGGGCAACAATATGTGAGAAGTCAACAATATTATTTGTTTACACTTCACAGTTTTCAAAAGGCATCACATCCTAAACCAAGTAATACAGGTGTCGTGGAACGTAGGCAAAATACAAATTAATCCCTACAGGAAAAGCAACTCCCACTGACCCACACATAACAGGTGGATCTGAGATCTAACAACTGGTCATAACCTAACAACAACCTAACACCATAATACTCACCTGTGGACAAGGCCTCCTCCCGAACATCACCCTCACCAGGCTGAGGGATATTCCAGGATGTTTTGGGAAGTAAAGAAATTTCCTCTGGTGATTCTAGTCTCACCATATCCATGTGATTGCTCTGGAACTGATACCGAGGGATGAAACAGACTTTGCCTCGTTGGAAAATGTCCTTGATAATCTCTTCTGTCTCAATTTCATCTTGCATGCTCAGAAAGATGGAAATTCTTTTGGACTTTTGATACTCACTGTGGGCAATCACCTAAATGGGAAATTATGGCAATTATATTTTCCAAGACTATATTTAGTAACTCCCCTTAACAATTCTTCCTTTCTCTCTCAGCCTTGTCCAATTTCTTTAAATATTAAAAAGAAAAAAAAGGGGGACGGCGCAGAGTGATATAGTGGGTCAGACAGTGTTGCATCCTGAAGCCTGACTTTTAGATTGGGACTCAGCACTTACCTGCTCCTTTTATCCCTTCCTGGTACACCCACTCTGGTAGGTGTGAAAACCCATTAAAAGGTCACTGTGGAGACAAGCTGTTTATCTACAGAATTCCAGGCTTGATCCCCACCTACCCATTTTAGTAGTCTTCGGTCATTTCACATGCTTTCCCTAGAGTCTGCTTTATTTTATCTCCGAATCTTGGCTCCCACAAGCTTCTCCACTCCTTGGATTGTCAGGCTTCTCTCTCTTCCCAAATTCTACCCATTTAAAGTCCGACGCAAGTCCTAACTTTTCCTACTTCTGCCGAACCCTTACTACGTTTAGAGTTAATATATAACAATAATGTATTGTCATGAGTGGCTCACTAATTGTTTCATGTGCCCTAAATGTGGTATCTCTAACCGGTCCATGAACTGAGCTCTCTGAGGCAGAGAACATGCCTTATAATTCTCTCTTAGCTCTGCCATCCCCATCCCATTTCCTAAAATTCATCTGTTCAAATGAATATCAAAATATTCACAATTATGTGGTGGGAGCAGATCCTGATGAAAGAAATCATTTTCAATTGAATCACCCATCAGGCAAGAGAAGGGAACTGAGCTTTGCTCATCATAGAAATGTCAACAATCTCAGGAACTTATCCAGACTCAGAAGTTAGTCCTTCACTCTCCCTTTTCCTTTTCTTTTTTTTTTTTTTTTTTTTTTTTTAAATATATAGACAGGGTCTCCCTCCGTTCCCCAGGCTGGAGTGCAGTGGCACAATCTGCAACCTCTGCCTCTTAGGCTCAGGCAATCCTCCTGCCTCAGCCTCCAGAGTAGCTGGGACCACAGGTGCAACCACTATGTCTGGCTGATTTTTCGTATTTTTTTGTGGAGACAGGGTTTCACCATGTTGCTCAGGCTGGTCTCAAACTCCTGAGCTCAACTGATCCACCCACCTGGACCTCCCAAAGTGCTGCGATTACAGGTGTGAGCCACTGCGCCTGGCCAGCTCTCTTTTTTTTTCCCTTCCTTTTCTGTTCTTCCCTGTTTGCCAAACTAAAAAGAAAAGAATACTTTTCTTATTCTTTATCAGACTTTTTAATACTTTTGTTATTGTTATATAATTGTAAGCCATAGAAGTAGCTTATAAATATGACTAGCAAAAAGATACAGGAATAGAAAGTCAAGTTATGACTAATAAAAAAGGAAACACAGAAATCAAGTAGATAGAGCACATCAAACCAGTCTAAGAAAGAAAGTTAACTCTCACATTCTGAAAATTTACAAAATTGTTTTGAGGCCGGAAATGGGCAAAGAAAGGAAATGTGAAACCTAGACCTGGGCAGGCCTGGGGCTTTGGGCATCCAACTACTATATGAGAAAGTTAAGTATCCTTTTTGCTCTCTTTACAGCAGAATATAGAAGATCGAGAGTTGAATAAGCAGTAATAAACATCAGTTAACATTCAGTGTGAGACTGTGCATACATATTTATCTTCCTTCCTCAAATCCCATTAATGTGACGGTAAAGAAGCACAAAAAAGAAAATCCATTAGAGTACTGAGAACAAGGGAACAGAGACCTAATTTCTGTAAGACAAAGAGTGGATGGGACAGTATTTTGCTGACAAAACAGCAGCAGATCACAACACTCAGAGAATAAGGGTGCAGGTCAGGCAGAATCCATTCCTCCCTTGAAATCTCAAAGCAACTATAAAAGGCAGAGGAGATCCCCATTAGCTAAGACACCTTCATTCACAAATATGTACAGACAATAAAGGATCATCAAACATTTTGAAAAGTCAAAATACAAAATAGAAGGATGGAAAAAAAAAAAACAGGAAGGGGAGAAAAAATGGACAAAGAGGACAGACAAGTTTTTGAAATTCTAATTAGTTTTCTCAGACAAACTCAAGAAGATAACTGCATTTCTAAAATAACAATAGACTGCTGGGGAGGAAGCAATCAGGGAATCATGAAATAATCAATGGAAACTAAAATTGTGATTAGCAAAATTAAAACAACTTAGGAGACAGCCTTGGAGTAGGGGAAAAGACAAAAATAGGAAAAATGAAAAAAATGTTAAGAAATACAGAAGATCAATCTATGATTTTTATTATCTGATTAACAAGAGTTCCAAAAAGGCACAAAGGAAAAAGAAATAATCAAAGAAGATATACTTGGCTCACACCTGTAATCCCAGTACTTTTGGAGGCGGAGGCGGGTAGATCATCTGAGGTCGGGAGTTCGAGGCCAGCCTGACCAACATGGTAAAACCCTGTCTCTACTAAAAATACAAAATTAGCCGGGCGTCGTGGCACATGCCTGTAGTCCCAGATACTTAGAGGCTGAGGCAGAAGAATCCCTTGAACCCAGGAGGCAGAAATTGAGCCAAGATCACGCCATAACACTCAAGCCTGGGCAACAAGAGCAAAACTCTTATCTCAAAAAAAAAAAAAAAGTAAAAGAAAAACACTAGTCTCCATATTGAATGGGGGCCATGGGTGCTGAGCAGAACAAGGAAAATAATTTTAATTTTTAAATTCAAACTATCAATCTAGTATGAGGGTAAAACATTTCCTAACGTATATTTAAAAGTTTACCACCCCCATAGATACTTTCTCAAAAAAAATTATCTGAAGATATACTCTAATAAGATGAAAGGAAAAGAATCCAAGAGAGACAAAGATACTAGACTCAAAAAGCGGCCCTAACTCAGAAGTGGAGTAAGGAGGAACCCCAGGGCAATGGCAGTGCAATGGGCCGAAGGCAACCAGACCAGAAGCAGCAAGGGGCTGGAGTGTTTTCAAAAAGAGAGTGGATTTATTTTAACAGACGATGAAAAAGAATATATTGATAAGACAAACAGATATTCTTGATTTGTCAAAAAAAAGAAAAAGGCAATCAGAAGCTCCAGGAAAAATAGAAATACACTCCAAATGGGAACAAAGTAAAACAGAAAATGATTTTGAGCAATTATGGAGGAAAAGAGAAAAGCTTTGGTACTAACACTTGAAGCATTACCTTCCTAGTTACACATATCTAGTGACATAAAGTCATGTCTTTTCTTACATATTCAATCATGTAACTTGGTTCTGTGATGAATACCATCTATAGAACAAAAATACAGCTGGGCGCGGTGGCTCATACCTGTAATCCTGGCACTTTGGGAGGCCAAGGTGGGTGGATCATGAGGTCAAGAGGTTAAGACCATCCTGGCCAACATGGTGAAACCCTGTCTCTACTAAAAATAAAAAAATTAGCTGGGCGTAGTGGTGCACGCCTGTAGTCCCAGCTACTTGGGAGGCTGAGCCAAGAGAATCACTTGAACCCGGGAGGCAGAGGTTGCAGTGAGCCAAGATTGTGCCACTGCACTCCAGCCTGGAGACAGAGCGAGAGTCCATTTAAAAAAAAGAAAAAAAAACAACACAAGGTATGTATTCTGTGCTTTACATATTTTTGTAAATACTGTTTACTGTAAATACTATTTACTGAAATCTCAAGTTTGGAAATCGGTCACAAATACTGCTGAGTAGACTCATTATAGTTACAGAGCAAAGTTTAAATATTACAAAACCTGGCCGGGTGTGGTGGCTCCTGTCTGTAATCCCAGCACTTCGGGAGGCTGAGGCGGGTGGATGATGAGGTCAGGAGTTCAACATCAGCCTGGCCAAGATGGTGAAACCCTGTCTCTACTAAAAATACAAAAATTAGCCGAGCGTGGTGGCGGGCGTCTGTAATCCCAGCTACTCGGGAGGCTGAGGCACAGAACTCCCTGAACCCGAGAGGCAGAAGTTGCAGTGAGCCGAGATTGCGCCACTGCACTCTAGCCTGGGCGACAGAGTAAGACTCTGTCTCAAAAAATGAAAAATTACAAAACTTGACAACATAAGTATAACAATATAAATGTCAGAAACTGACAGAGGGAGTAGAAAACATAGTGAGTAAAGGGACACTAATTTCCTCATCTTATTAGTTAGAGAATCAAGATATGACATAAAGCTGAATTTCTTCACCATTTAAATTACTTCTCTGATAAATTTCTAAGTTATAAAAAGGTACAGTGACAATAAGAATAAATATGCTTTTCTAAATGAAAGACATCATTTAACACCTTTATTGAGCATTCACTATGGCAAAACACTACACAGTACACTGATGTTTCCAGAGATGATCCATTGGTTAGTCATGAAATCAACAGCAGGCTATAATTTTTAAATGAAATAGAATAGCAAATATTAAAGTTCGAGTCAGGCACAGGGGCTCACGCCTGTAATCCCAGCACTTTGAGAGCCAGAAGCGGGAAGATCATGAGGTCGAGTTCGAGACCACCCTGGCCAACATGGTGAAACCCCGTCTCTACTAATAATAGAAAAATTAGCTGGGCATGGTGGCACGTGCCTGTAATCCCAGCTACTTGGGCGGCTGAGGCAGGAGAATCGCTTGAACGTGGGCGGCGGAGGTTGCAGTGAGCTGAGATCATGCCACCGCACTCCAGCCTGGGTGACAGAGCAAGACTCTGTCTCGAAAAAAAAGGAAAATATTACATTTCGTTGTATGTGGTAAGAGCTGTAAAATGTTCCTTGTATGTGTATATTTGTTTGTACAGAGTAAAATGTATTTATCACTGAGGGTCATGGGTCTGCTTTTTAATTTTTCTCTCTCCTCCTTTAATGCCAGCTCTCAGTTGTCATTCTATTGCTGTTAGTGACTCTGTATCTATGTAGCCACTATTCCCATCTATAGTTTATGAATTCTAATCTTCTATGGACAAAGACAACATAGAAGATTAGAAACTGAATTCATCTTTATTTCCCCATGCTCCTCCAAAATTTGTTCCACGTCCTACATTCTTTATGTCCAAGGTTAAACACCATTATACCCAGCTCTAAATTTTGGAATCATAGGTGACTCTCCTCCCCTTCCAGTATTCTCTAACCTCTTCCAATCAGTTGCCAAGCACTGCTGTTTCTCACTTAACAGTCTCCCATTTGCCTCCTTTCCCCCTATCTTCACTGCCCATGCTCTGGTTTGCATCTTTTTCATCTTTCACTTGAATTGGCACAACAGCCCCTTACTGGTCTCCATTTTTTTTTCTTTCTTCATTCCTCAACCCATTAACCAAATGCTGCCAGTATATCCTTCCTAAAGGACATATCAAAAAATAGGTAAAGCACTGAATACATCCCTTTACACACTTCTTTAACTCTCACAATCGACCTACAAGAGTGATATTATCCATTTTATAGACAAGGAACCAAGAGTTCTGAGAGATTATGAGACCTGTCCAAGGATATACAGTTAAAAGACAGTGGCGCCAGATTAAACCCAGATCTGTGTAGTTCCAACGCCCATGCTAAACTGTATCCTGTCATCTCTTGCCTAAATATCCCTACTCACACTCCCCTATCCCCTTTCCCTTCATCTGAAAAAATTCATCTTGTTCTCCAAAATTCATCTCAACATTTTGCAATAGAAAGCTTTCCAATTCCCCCTCCCCAAGGCTACATTTCCACAATATTGGTGTTTACCTTTATCATACATCTGGCTTCAATGCAATTCTTTATTCATGTCTGTTTCCTCTTTGAGGCTATCTGCTCCTTTAGAGCAACAATCATCTTTTTCATGTCCACAACCCAGTACATAGCCAAGTGTGCACTACTTAGGTATTCAACATATGTGAATGAATTAGCTAAATTTTAAACAACTAGATATAGACAAGAGTCTATATCCTTTACATATACTAAAACACCCAGCAATGCTTCCTCATAATAGCTAAAATAATTGTTTGAACGACCGAATTAACATCTGTATAGATTCCCTCATGCACACCTACATAGATGAAGAGAGGGGTGAAATAAGTATATTTGATTTACTGCTTTAACCCATTGGCACCTTGAATTTGAGCAAATAACGGATAATAGAATAGTGAGGGGTAATTAAGAAAGCCTGATGGTATAACTAATTCCAAGGAACATCAAGTCTCCAAATATCCACTGGTGTCTCTGAGGCACGATGCTGGGAAGACAGATCATCAGTTTGACTTACAACAGAATTACATATACATACTTATTCAGGGGACATTAAATTTTTCTTCCTCTGGTGTCTAACAAAAATAAGTCCCCAAAAACTCTTTAGAACATGCCTTCAAGACAGGATATGACTCCCATTTTATTGATAAGAAAACTGACATTACATAGACAGACTAAAAATACATAGCAGTGCAGTCGGTGAAAGTAATAAAACAGAGGTCTGCTAACCAACAAACAGGGACTCTCACTTATTCCTCTCATTTCTCTCTTCTGTTTCCTATGTTCTGGGGAAGCCTGGGTATGACAGCCACGTCTTCCTTTCATTCACTGAAGAAAAAGCATTTAATGTTGACCAACTCTGAGACAGGAAAGGCCTAGGCCCTGGAGCTACTGAGACACAGCCTTAGCCCTCCATATGCTTAGTGAAGTGCAGTCAACATCTGAGTTCTGACCTTTGGCATCTCCACACTCTTTTTGGTGTTCCCTTGTCTGAAGCACCTGCATCTTTCTCTGGCCATTTTACTAAAGTAACTGGAGTCTGACTCGTAGCTCATTAACTTTAGGACTCACTGAGGGAACCTGGGCACTCAAGAGTTCACCCATCTCCTCTACCACAACTTTCTGTTCTCACCCTGCTCTCACCACAGTACCGTCATCCCCACGGAGGAGTTTTCGAGCACCAAAGGTGCCACCCATGCAAACGAACTCCCCTCCCAGAGATAAATCTGTCAACCCCTGCCGTCCTCTCGCTCTTTAGCCCCACAACTTTCACTACCGGGCCCTCTCTCCGTCACAGTGCGAAGAACAGCCAGACTACGACCAGGGGACGGGCGCGCGCCAGGAACGGGCATGCGGACGCCGGGAGGGGAAACGTGCGCGCGCCTGGAGGGGAAACGTGCGCGTGCCGGGAGGGCCTAGCCCTGCGCCTGCACCGACCATGCACGGATCAGCAATCGCTGGCCGCCAGGCGTTCAGAGAGTCTGTCCGCCGCGGCTTCCGCTACAGGCGGCCTCGCACCTTCTGGGTCAGTACGCGGGACTGACGTAGCCTCTCCTCGGCGCTCATCGCCCGCAGACGCTGCTTCAGCTCTCCTCGCAGGCTCCGCTTGGCGCTGCTCACCGCTGCCGCCGCCATCTCACGCCCAAGCCCAGTCCAATCCCACCCTCGGCGCCCTGGGGTTTGGTCTCCGCCCCTGGCCGCTCCCAGGTGGATCCGCGGCCTAGGGGCGGGTCGGGACTCGGGGAAGCGCCCCCACCCCGCTTCCGGGACGCGGGCCCTCGGCGCGCCGCGCGCTTGTCTGGCCTCCGGCCATTGGGAGCCAGCCCTCGTGCGGCCGCCGGTGGTCCGGCCCGCCCTCCCCGGCTACCGGGAGCTGTGGCGAGGCGCCGTCGCTGCCCTGCCGCCTGACCTCCCTGAGCCCGAGCCTTCACCCGAACCGCGGAGGCGGCAGCGCCACTGGCGGGGATGGTAAAGACGGCCGGCAGTACCCACGGTGCCTGGCATCTCTTGTACTGTTGAGTACTGGGACTTCAGGGGCCAGAAAAGAAGGGCAAGGCAGGACAAGTAGCGAAATCGTCACGAGTCGCTTAACTCCAGGGATGTGTCTGACAGATGCCCCGATTTCCTTCTGGTGCAAACATAAAGAGTGTAGTTACAAAGTTACTACACACCTATGCTACACACCTGTACAGCGTATTTTGTACCAAATACTGTAGGCAATTGTAGCACCATGATACTTGTGCATCTAAACACAGAAAAGGTAATGTGTTGGTTGGCTACCACATCAGTAGGTATTAGGAATTTTTCAGCTGCATTATAATCTTAAGAGACCACAGTGGTTGATGGAAATGTCCTTATGTGATGAATGTATAGATGATACATAGTCGGGAACATTGTTAAAGCAGTAACTGTAGTGTAAAAGCCAAATTTTGTGGATTCTAGTGTGAATGTATTCCAGGTCATAGTGCCCATATAGGTACTTCCTGTTATAACCATCAGTGACTGTTCATTCCCACCACTCAGCTCTGATTAAAACACAAAAATGAATTAAAACTGAAAGCAGTTTGGGGGGTGGGTGAGGCACTTGCAGGAAGAGGTAAAAGAAACTGTGAAGTCTTGAACTGCTCCCAGTAGACAGGCGCCTCAGATTGCCTCTCAGATGTGACTTCCTAAAACCAGAGCTGCCTCTTCCAAAACTACTTCCCTACTGACAGCCCCAGTGTCCTAATCCCCACCGTTAAGAATCACACCTCCTAAGTAAAGCATAAAAGTGCCCGGCGAGAATGCACATGGCTTGAGAGGGGAGATCTGGCTTCTTTATGGAATCTATCAACAGCTTCCCGGGAAAGGTAATGCAAGTCCCAGGGGGATTGTGTTGTAAGAAGAAGGGAAGGCCAGGCAGATATAGCGTTTACATATTGCAATCAGATTTGCTGACCTAAAAATTAGAACACGAGGTCTAACAAACTACATAATTTTCTAATCTGTTCATTTTTACAAAAAAAAAAAAAAAAAAATAGCATTAGCTCCACGTTGAATCACTTACCTAATTTTCTTTGTTCAGAATATCGCAGAGTATCCTGCATATCAGGTTGCCATATCCATCAACCCCAAATGGCAAGCCAGAGAGAGAAGGCTGGGGAGGAGGCATCAGTGGAAACTCTAAGCAGCCAGGGGCACTGGAAACTGCAGACAGCATGGGAAAGAAGGAAGGAAGGAGGGAGGGAGGGAAGAGGGAAGGCAACCTGAGTCTGCTTCTAGCCTGAGTCTGCTTCTCAGTCTAGTCTGCAGTCTAGCCTAGTGACATGGAGGACTTTTGGGTAATGGGCACACCTTAAAAGTCTGCAGAAAAGATACCCCCTTCCTAATCATCATCCCATAATTAATTGCCTGGCTCCTGTGTTGAGCTTTACCCTTTGGCTGAATTTCCAGGCAGACTCCAAAAATGAAGACAAAAATGGCATATAGGGAAAATTACATACAATTTATTTATTAAATAGGGATAAAATTTCTGTAACTCTAGAGGGTCAAGTTACATCATCAAAGTTGTTTATTTAAAAGTAGAAGTATGTGTTGGCAATCGTTTTCTTAAGAGTCAGAAAAATTAGGCCGGTTTCACAATATGGAGTGTCCTTTCTGGTCAACAGTATTGCTTCAGAAGAGAGAGCATTTCACAGATCTTTCCTGTAACTTCTAGAAAAGTCATCCAGCCAGATTTAGGCTCAAGCTTCTTTACAAAGCCATTTTCCTGAGAGAATAAATTTTAACATTTTAAAAAATCACTGGAGATTATGCTAGAATAAAAAGCAAAAATATTTTCATTTAAATAATGCAAATAGTTAATCTTCTACCCCTTCTGTCCCTCTAAAGGAAGCATTGTGTAACAGAAACACAGTGTGACCTACATCTGTAACTTTAATTTTTGGTAGCCACATTTTAAAAAGTATAAAAATCGGAAAAATTAATTTTTAAGATATATTTAGTGATGATTTCAATATGTAATCAATGTCAAATCACTAATGAGATATTCTTTTTTTTTATAACAAACCTTCAAAATCTCATGAGTATTCAGTACTTACAGCACATTTTAATTCAGACTAGCCACATTTCACTACCATAGTGGACAGCAAGCACAGCTCTAGAGGATAAAAAGTATTTTGTTGTTCTCGTTCTTGTTTAATTGTCCATTGATTTCAATGCACTTATATTTGTAATATGAATTCTATTATACAGTAAACTGCATTGTATTGAAACTCATGAGAACTCACAGTAAATCCAAATTAAACCAATACCTTTGAAGCTATGAAAAGGTTGATGGTTTCTTTTATAATCTACTCTCTTTGTGATTGGACATAGTTTTAAAAATGTAGGATAACCCAATTAACTGGACATTTTATTTAATTTATCATCTATAATCATAAAATCCTCACTGAAAAGTACCTCTGAGATCATCTAGCCTAATGCCCTCTCTTAACAAATGAGGAAAGTGAGGCCCACAAAAAAAATAAGTTATCTAAGATTAGGTAACCCTTTGGTGCCTGGATCTGGATTAGAATGCAAACACCCTACTTCTTTCCACTCCATTCATTTCCAAACAAGTGCAAAAATATTCAAAAATTGTTAAAATAATTTTTTTCAAATATTCATTTAGCAAACATTTGTGTCTGCATCTTATAGGTTCCAGAACCTAGGATTACAAATGCCTGCAAGTAGCTCAGAGCATAGTGTAACTTAATATTGAAACATAAACCAAGCATAACCCTTTGATAGTTTGGAGAGATTTGAGAGCTCTGTGGTGCCTTGGAATCATTTTATAAGCATCACTGGCAAAGCACATGAATACCACCAGCCAGGGGGATTTCATTTTAAAGATTGCCTAAGAAAGCCATTTTCTGCCTACATGTTAAGTGTGCATTGTGCTCTGAGACATGCTGTCATGCCTTGAGAGAGGAAGGAAACTGCCCCTCTCTCTTCTTCCTCTTTCCCTCTTGCCAGTCCATACTCATAGATTACACTCTAAGGAGGTATCCACTTCATTATGCTCCTTCCTAAACCCCGTGTTTCACAAGTATGATGAGGCCCTCTGAAATGATTTTTATTATGATGATAATCATTGTCTACTATCATTGAGCAGTTAACATGTCATATACATCAATGTCTAAAGAAAGGACAGTGTACAAAGAAAATATTGATGAATTCAGCCAGATGAAGATTAAAAAATTTTTTAACTATGAAAAACTAAAAAGAACAATACAGTAGGAAAATATTTACATATACCATGAAAGTGTTCATTCAAATGTGAGAGAAAATTCTCAGGCCCTTAATAGTTTAAAAAGCACAGACCATTAAAGACAGAAATATAAATCATTCACAAGTATATAGGAAAAACATTAATAGTAGTTAAAGAAATGTACATTTTAACAAAGTCTTACGGTTTTTTAGACCTACTAAATTGGCTTTATTTGATGCCTATTAAACCCTCAGAATTATTAATAGTACCACCCACACTGATAAGGTTGCTATGACATTGTTCTATTGATATAATGCTTTTGGAAAGAAAATATGTTTCCCAGTATGCTAGAATATTGTAATTCTACACACATCTTATGAACCGGTTATTGCACTGCTAGAAATTTATCATGAGGCAGTCTTCTAAAATATTGGAGGGTAGGGGGCACCAGAAAAGCATACCCATGCTTCACTATTGAAGTATTATATCTAAAAGGGCGAAACTCTGGGCGAAGTGGCTCAGAACTATAATCCCAGCACTTTGGGAGGCTGAGGTAGGGAGATCACTTGAGGTCAGGAGTTTGAGACCAGCCTGGCCAACGTGGTGAAAGTCCGTCTCTACTAAAAATATAAAAATTAGCCGGGCGTGGTGGTACATGCCTGTAATCCCAGCTACTGAGGAGGCTGAGGCAGGAGAATTGCTTGAACCTGGGAGGTGAAGGTTGCAGTGAGCCAAGATCAAGCCACTGCACTACAGCCTGGGTGATAGAGTAAAACTCCGTCTCAAAAAATTAATAAATAAATAAAAGGGGAAAAATCAAAACCAAATTGTCTAACAATTGGGAATTAGTTAAGTAAATTATGATATGACAAATTAATGAAATATTCTGTAGACATTAGAAATTAATGCCTAATGTTAACATGGAGTGAGACAGCGTTGAAAATATTTATATGTCACACCAAAAAACTCTTATGTACACCCTAATTATTGCATACAACGTCTGCATGTGGGTATGTTAGGGTGATGGGAGTGACTTTTCTTCCTTTCAAAAATGTTATTTTCAAATGTATTTTCTTTAATGATGCTATTTGTATCTCAAGACCATTATATGAAAATAAATATACAAATAAGGATTCAATATCCTATCAGTAATGTAGTAGTAAATAAGAATTGTTCAGGCTTTATTATTTCTGGGAATAGTGATAGTTTGTTAAATTCAGCTACCTTGGTTTCAACAAAACCTAAAGCATAAAATAATATACAGTATCGGTAATCCAAAGAAAATCAGAACCTCATAATTTTTAAAGATACAGGCAGCCAGGCACAGTGGCTCATGCCTATAATCCTAGCACTTTGGGAGGCTGGGGTGGTAGGATTGCTTGAGCATGGTAAGTCAAGGCTGCAGTGGGCCATGATCACACCACTGCACTCCAGCCTGGGTGGCAGAGCAAGACTTTGTATGAAAAAAAAAAAAACAGGCAAATATCATGCTTTCTCACTTCTCTAAAGACTATTCCTTTGTTCACTCAGGAAATAGTCATTGAGCATTGGCCACATGCCAGCACCAGTTAAAGTGCTGGAAACACAGTGGTGAAGAAAGCATACAGGATCTCTGTCCTCACTAAGTTTATGTTCTCATGGCAGACACAGACGATAAACAGATAAGCAAATAAATATGCAATGGGATGTCCAGTCATGAAAACTATTATGAAGGCAATAAAGTAGGGTAGGGAGACAGAGAGTGACAGTGGTACTTTCTTAGATGGGGTGATCAAGGAAGACTTCTCTGAGGAGAAGAATTCCTCGGAAGGGACACCTGAGCAAAAAGAAGAGGGAAGGCAGGCAAACTTCCGGCAGAAAATTATTCCAGGCAGAGGCAACAGCAAGTGCAAAGGCCTGGAGGATGGAGTGTGCTTAGCTTATCCAAGGAGGCTGGAGCTGTGAGAACACAGAGGAATTCGTAGAAAATGAGATTTGAGAGACAGGTAGAGGCCAGGTTATAAAGGGCTTTGGGTAACTCATACTCAGGATGTTGTACTTTTGTTCCCAGGGTGAAGGGGCACCTTGGAGAGTTCTGATTCAGCCAAGATCCGATCTAATTCAAGTTTGTAACATCACTGTGGGTACTGTTTGGAGAACAAATTATAGCAGATAAAGGATGGAACCATGGAGTCTGGCAGGAGGCTACTGACAGAGTCAAGTGAGAGAGGAAGGTGGCCTAGATGCACAGGGGATTACAGCATTTCAAGGGGCAGCCAGAGGGATTTGCTGATGGATGGATGTGGGCTATGAGAGACAGGAGTCCAGGCTGACTCCCAGGGTTAGAGAACTAGCACTTAAGAGAGCTTGACTGAGGGGCCCCACAGAGGTGCTTTTCTCTAACTCCTGTGTCAGTATCATACATTTCCGCCTGACTTGAGGGTCATTTATTTTTCACTAAATGATTTTAAAATCTCAAGTAAAAATTCAAAAGAAACAGAAAAATTTTGCCCCAAAACTTATTTAATAAAAGGATATATATGAATACTTGGGATTATATCACCTTGCTGCTAGATCTTTATATGTTTGGAAATGCCTTTGCCAAACTGAATGCTTAGTCAATCATCTGTATGTCTCTGTGTGCCCATTTATTTGGCCTCAAATTAACCAGACTATTATTTAGGGTAAGAAGACAACAAAGAAAATAGAAACCTCTTGGCCTAATGGTATGACCCAAGCTTTAAAATGGTGGTTACTTGGAAAGCACCAACTCTGACTGTACATCCTACTTTCAGAAGGGCAAAGAATTACCTATCTAAACTTCCTGGAATTTCCCATATAACCCTCATAGTTGCATAGTATTTGACAGTTTGCAAAGCACTTTTAAAAAATGTTTTATAATCCTTTAACTTTCCATTAAAGATAGGTA